TGTTGTCCGAAACAGTGAGAAGTGTTGGTGAACGACGTAGATACGTTGGTGACGAGGAAGACGTCGGTGACCTTCCTCAATGACAACATGTATACTCAACGTGTAGGAAAGGGAGAGCAAGCTTATTTTGGAATGAGTAACCGGATTAATTTTGGGGAACAAGCGAAAGAGAACCTAAAGTGTTAATGTAATGACTTGTCAATGATTTTCGTCGACTTGACCCTGGTCGGAAAAGAAAGGAGTCCTAGTAAGGGACTCTGTTAGAGAACCTTCGGTCAAACAAAAACGGAGTGTACAAGGTTCAGGACTTCGTTTCCGTCTCAAGGGCGTATGCTAGGGGATACGAGTTTACTCTTGGGTTTACAAACAACCTTCCCAAAGGAGCCGACGCCCAAGAGACAAATAAAACTAACTGACCTAAAAGAGACCTGTTACGGTTGGTCGAGACCTCCACGTCCCCTTTCTAGAAAGTCCGGGAGACACCTAAAAGCGGGTGTATCACTCCGATAAATAATGCGACAAACCTCCCTTTCACGAACACCGTCAAACCCGTCCAACATAAGAAGTCCTTAGTAAAACAGTCCTTATTGTTTACCTCTAAGACGCACTACGTAACAACCACAACTCTCGACGTCCGTAGATCGGTTACACTAGAGATGTACAAAGATCTAGTCTCACGTCCACAGCTGCATCCTTGGTACAGTATATGTCGTTTCGCGAGAGTGGTATTTTGTACAACTTTCAAAATGATCTAATAAATCAAGTTGGTACTCATTCGACATTAACTAAACGTACGAACGTAGTGTACGACCTTCTTTTGGTGTGAACTTAGTACAGCTGTCTTAGGTGTAAATTCTGCCGGAGGTTTCTTACGAAAAAAAGGTTAGGGGGATTTAGTTATCACGTGAAAAAATGAGAATACTTCACAATGAATATCTTATCACTTGTAATGCGGGCATATGTTCTACTGAGACGTCAACATTAGTTTGTTACGTTACAGCCTCGAGTTAAGTTTTGGTTTCGACAGGGGTACGGCAGACTTACAGATAAACTTAAAAAAAAGAATTAAAACCGTCATTATAACGTCAAAGACTGCTTGTGCTTTATAACAAAAGAACGTAAAACCATACACCCCGAATGCGATTTTCATTCTCCAACGCCGCATGGACAATGGGCAAAATTGTTTTGGGACTATTGTTGTTACTATATAAAAATTTTGTAAACTACCTGAAAACAAGAACTATCCTATCGTATCGTCAGTACTACCAATAACCCTTGATGTCATTGATAACTCCGCGCGCGCTCGCCAACTACTTATCGGTCTTACAAAAAGTTCTTAAAATAATATTTGGTATAAACAATATTAATAGTAACTATTCCGAAACGAGTTAATAGAGTTTAGATCTACACATCAATATACATAATTTCCAGGGTACAGCTACCGGTAAAGGTGACTCAGTATTAAGGTAACAACTCCCCAGAACTATCTTAATCTAAATATAACACGTTAAAACGGTTTTAGTGAAACCCAAAGAGTATGTCGTAGAGACATTTGATGCAACATAGTGACTTAGAAGTGAGAGACGGAAAGTTGCCGAGCAACAATCGAGGTCATCGGAGGTCGGGGGTGGGAGGCAAACTCGTGGTCACACGAGACTAACCAGCCCTGCAACACTTAGCGCGACTCGAGGCACCTCCACAACAAAAGGAACAAATCGCTATGTGTCGGTTTGTGTCGGTTTTTGAGTGGACTTCGTGTGGTGTTTCAGTGTCGGCTTCATTTTTGTTATTCACACGAACTATAACTCATTCTTTTTCCACTATTTGCGACATCTTACCCAGACGTCTCTCTTAAAGCGGCGCTAGGGGTTGAACAGACAATAGTCCGGACGTCGGCCCTCCTCTCTAGTCGTCTCGACGAACCGTGACTCACACACACACTCCTTAGGTCACCTACCAGTAAACCCGAAATTGCATTGCCGAGGCGCCTGGATTGCATTGCGAGGTGCCTAACCACGGTAAACCAAGGCCCCATTGGGTACTAGTAGTACGCCCATGGGCCTTTTAGTTACCTGTCTACTAACGACATTAAGAGGCTCCGCCAAAACCCCTCCATAAAAGGACACAATCACTTTACCTTACTTTACAGACGGTCCCACCTCAACACAATGAGCGAAATGTCTCCGACTGTTTATTTACTTCCAACTTCGCTCCTTTATTTTACGTCAGTTACTTTTTTAATGTGGCCTTAGTCTCTGTGGTAATGTTTCGAGCTCAGTAGGACAAAAGGGTAGACACACAACAACACACACAACAACACACACACAAACACACACACACACACACACACACACTATGTAATTTCCTTTTACTTTTCAGGGTTTACCTCAGTTGCCGGTAGAAATAGAAGAGATTACCGGAACGTGTAATTCTCATTCGTACTATTATACGTCTTTCGGATCGGCACAATTTACGTCTTTGCACCGTTTTTACTTGAAAGAATTTCTATCTCGACCTCACCGTAAAGTGAAACTAACGTTTATAAATTTTTTTTTTCGGCAGGATAATTAATGTAAGGTCACAAGGACTTGGCTTTTTCAGGTTGTGACAGTGCACTGCAACATGTTTGTTGATCTTGTTTATTTGTATTTATTATTTTGATATTATTTATTTAAAATGTAGACATGATTGTATAATTTATTTTATTTTGTATTGGTTTTTCAGTTGATTAACCTGAACGTATAATTCAACAGTTAAAAAGTTCAAATTATTATTTGTATTTGTTTTAAAGTACAATAAATGGATGTTTTCAAAGTCAATGAATAATCACATTTAATAATCGCAATTACAATTATTGACCCAAATAATCGAGATTATGATTTTTGCCATAATCGAGCAGCCCTAGTTAAGCCACTGCGAAAATGTGCTTCATCAGCCGACTCGCTTCCTCACTTTGATCATGAGATCTTCCTTCAAATGTCTTGACTCCGCTCCCCTGTACCTGCCCAGTAGCTTCTTACTTGTATCCACTCTGGCAGCGTGGAGAGTATTCTCAAGCAGCTCCTCCACCTGCTTCCTGAGGGCTGTTCAAATATTTACCCCCCCCGATAACATTTCCTCGGGGGCCTCAACATGCACGCTGCCGTTAATGGGTTTGTTTTGCTAATACCTATGAATGTTTGCTTTCGCTGCCACTTAAATGAAGTGCCTCAAACATGGGGCATGCATTGCCATTTGCTTTATCCTGACACGTTAATGAGTGTGAAATGTAATGCTGGAAGGAAACACTCTCAAACACACGCCAGGCTGAATTACTGTGGTGGTACAATTCATTAAGGAAAACCCCTATTACTCATACTTCACTTGCGAATAATGAGGGTTATGAGTGGTAAGTGAAAAACAATAAATTGCTCGTTCCAAAATAAATAGAGACAAATTAACAGCCTCTTATCATCTGGCAAAATTAAGAGCTAAATGAGTGTTTTAAAGCTCGGGGGGAACATGAGAAATCTCGATTTTAGTAAGTGTTCCTGAGGTAAGAGAAATTAGGTGAGGGGGAAAAACTGACTGCCGTTTCCCCGGCTCGCTCGATCAACTCATCTCCCTACTTAATGAGGCGTGGAAATGCTAATCCTGAGCTTAAAAGGCCTTTAATTTGCTGTCAGTTACCAGTGTTAAAATCATCACAAGCTGGATAATCTCAGCCCTCACACATCCTGAGTGTGTGTACACTGCAGTGTTTCATCTGTCCGCGGGGGCTTTTGATTTAAAGATTACTCCGGGCTTTGAGATATCAAAGTCAACAGTCCGTTTCAGACTAATCCACATTTCTCTCCCAGAGGAGGAGGGGCCACTCTTAATTTAGTGGGAGAAATATTACTTTTGCAGCATTAGGGCTGAACCCAATAGCAAGAATCAATATTCCAAACGATGATATACATTTTTTTGCATGGCTAGTTATTCTGTTTAAACCCAGCATTTCTGCACAGTTGCAGATCAAGATTATTCTACACATATTATTCCTGTCTAGACCACAAACATATCAGACAGGTTTATAATGTAAGGGGAAACGGTCTCATTTCAATCTATGCAGCTTTCTACCAGGCTGTCAGTGTATCTCACTGCGAAACATTTATTTAGTTGTGAATCGTGTAGATGCATGGTTAATCCCTGATTAAAAAAGGCACTGAATAAATGTTTTTATATACAATTTGCAACCAAGATTGTGCTGCTCCGGCTCCGGCTCCTAATTCCAGTCTCTATCCCTCTCTCTTTATTTTTGCAGAGCAGATGGGAAGCAAACACTGGGGCTTCTTGGAAATTGTGGAAGCTGCAGAGTTTATTTATGCGCACACTAAAATAAATACATTTCCAATAGTTTACTGCTAACCTTTATTCTTGAGTTGGCAATTCTGATCGCCAACATCTGTCTGCTCTGAGCTCAGCCGCCGGAGAATTAGATTCCAACTTTTCTGACTTCCAACATTTGCAATTTCACCAGCGGGTTCAAATTACAATACAAAAAGTAAAACAATTATTGAAAAAAGCAATATTTCATTATTTCCAATTTGCACTACCTGTTTCAATGTAAGAGAATATTCCTGAAATAAATAAACCTTTCTAAAATACTATTTTCACTGTGGTCTCAAAACTGTTCACTTGAAGTGAGGCACATACCTGTTTTAACTCAGCAGCAATCTAACAGCACTATTAATAACATAGATATAACTACTAATAGCAAAATACAACTACGTTTCATTATTTTCAACGTCATGATGTCATAAAATATGACATTCAAACCCTCGTTTGGAAAACCTAATTTGAAGCTTTGAATGTAAAAGTTGACATTTGGTAAAGCCCTACACTGAATGCTCGTGAACCGCTCCTTCTTGATCGTCAAAGTGTCAGGAACGAATAGTGCTGATGAGTCAAGATGTCTTTACACTAGCTTAAATCCGCAATGTGTGCATGTAAGTGTGTGTGTGGCGCTACTCGTCGACTTACCTGACTGCAAAATCTTAGTCGTGTCACGAACGGCCGCAGACACCATGGAAAAGTGTCTGTAGAGCGGGTAGCACAGCACCCTCCGTCCAAAGGACACCAGGACGTCCTGCAGGGAGCTGTACGTCTGCAACACAGAGAGCATGAGACTCAGCACAAACACAGACCATGTTTTATTGAATCAGAGAAGAATATCTAGCCGGACTGACAGTGACGGTACGTCCACACAGCAGCGGAAACAAATCTTGGAGGTGGGCGTATCTGAAGCTTAGGGATTTTTTGCGGGCAACGGGACCAACAACCAATCACATGAATCTCCCGCCCCCGACATACAAAGCAATGTTAAAACGAAGTAAACTGGATATAAAATCCCCAAACAGGCGAAAACCTACCAGTTTCACCCACTGTCTCTGCCACCTCCCTCCATGCCTGGTTCCTCCGGTTTGTATCCCGGTAAGTAAATAGGGACTGGTCATAAAGAACTGGGTGATTTGCTACCGCAATAACTAATTTCTCCTCCATTTTGTTAGGAATATAGAAAATGAACTGCGGTCTGTCTCTCCCAGCTTACACGCGGTTTGATTGGCTCGCGCTTGTACTGTCAGATTTGCATAAACGGGATTTGATTGGCTGATGCTTCCACCTCAGCTTCAAACGTTGCTCAACTTTTGAAGCCTGAGATGCCTGGAAATCTCCGCTTTGCTTCCCCACAATGCAGTTCGGCGAAAAGCGAGTGACGTCACCCCATTCAAAGTCAATGGGCAGAAGCGTTGGAAGGTTTTTTTAACGCTGCTGTGTGGACGGGGCGTAAACTGTCTGTGGCTCTTTTCTGCTGTACCAAATGCACATGTCCTCTCTGTTGGACCTAAGGTATTCTGATTCTGATGCATCTTTCCTTGAAATGTTTTGGACATACATTTCCATTGGTGTTTATGATCGTCCTTCCCTTACCATCAATGAATTGAATATAATATACCTGTAATTTTAGCTTAGTGGTACAATCCAAATGAAACAGAAAGACAGTGAAATAATGAGGTGCAGCCAGGGAACTGTCATCATCCTTACGACATTAAAAGTAAATATATACAGTATGTGTGTGAATTCCCCACCGATCCACAACCCCTCCAGCATCAGATGTACTGCTTGATTTTGAATACTTATATATATTTTGACGGATGAAGTGTTTACAATATACCTCTTTTATCTCGGTTAGTTGAAACGCTCAGTGCTTCTTCAGGGAATTGTTGTTTAGTAGCTTAAAGTGTTTTATCGTACATCTCATGGGGTCTGTTTGTGTTTTATGTAAAAGAAATAAAGAAGTTATGAGGGTTTTGTAGAAACAGAGCTAACTCATCCATGAAGACACTGATATACACCTGAACATCAGCAGGAGAGGACTCTTTAAAGTAGAGACACTACATACTGATATACACCTGAACATCAGCAGGAGAGGACTCTTTAAAGTAGAGACACTACATACTGATATACACCTGAACATCAGCAGGAGAGGACTCTTTAAAGTAGAGACACTACATACTGATATACACCTGAACATCAGCAGGAGAGGACTCTTTAAAGTAGAGACACTACATACTGATATACACCTGGACANTATCTGACCAGTTCATGTTGTTTGGTTGTTACGTTGATTTTTATTTGTGCCATTATAAAAAAAAGTAATATAATAGAACCGATTATTAGGTGTTCAAGTCTCGAAACATTAATATGGTTGTAGCTAACTGGTCTTACTACTAGGTTAGATAAAATAATTCTTTATTAGTTAACCTTCTTGAGCAAGGTAAGAAATTATCTTTTTTGCAAGGGAAAGAGAATTCTCTTTGTGAAACAAGAATTATACTACGTTAGACCAAAGAACTAACAGACAAGGTTCTTCAAGAGACTCACTAGACTATTGAAAAGAGTAGTGTCGGACTGGACCTGTGAAGAAGAATGAAGGTCTCAACTCCTCCAAGTTTCAAAAAGAGACGTTTCAATAGGTCAAAATGAGTGTGTTTTCACCCAAATACCTTGTTCCGGTATTCCTATCTTAGGGGAACTCACATGCTATCACTAACTAGTGTCCCCTACAATCGCTGTCTGTAACCGGAAAAATTTGTAAAGAGACACATAGACGTCCAAACGAAAAACTCTCGTTGAGCCGTCACAACAAAGTTTTACAGAAAATAGATATCTTGTTTCAGAAGTTATTGAAGTCTTACAATAAAGTAACCTGTATTTCAAATGGCCCACAGTCAAGGGTTAAATGGATGAAATGTATACGTGTGCATCCATCGAATAAACAAAAGAAAACCATCTGAACAGGATGAGAACACTTGAATACTGTGTTGGATATACACTAAACTAATGGCGCATTTCCACTGCAGGGCCTCGCACGGCTTAGTACGGTAGTTAGGCCTTGGTAGGCCAGGCTCACTTTATGCTGCGTTTCCATTACAGTTTAGTAGCTGGGGCAGTAACTATAGTAACGCAGTGTAGGCGGAGCCGTGACGTCATCTTCAATGCGATACACAAAACCAACATCAGCCGTTAGCTGTTAGCACTCAGAGCTCACAGCTCCTCATATCTGTTCAGAAACTAGACAAAAGTTAAACCACCAAGTACAAACCACAGACTGTCTGTGTCATGCCGAATACAGTCGCTGGTTTATGTATGTCTGTAGGCCGTTGTTGTGAGTGTGGGCGGTCGGAGCATTTACTGCGTTAGCTAGGCCGATCTCCATTCAGAAAACACGCATTTTAAAAAGGTTTTTCGCCTGCCGTCTGTCTGCAGACTTGTCAAAGCATTCATTCATGGTTTTTACTAACCGGTATCAGTATGTTGTTACTTCTGCATCATTTTGAAACGTATTACAATTAAATCACGGTCAAATATGTTCATTTTGTTGAAGTTGCCAGCGATTCTCTCACTAGTTTAGCATACTCAGCCCGGTTGTTGGCCCGGAAAGAACCTCGATTTTGGAGAGCCAGAAAACTGTGAAAAAGTGCCCGCTAGCCGGAACGACCCCTAGTGGAAACGTAATTAAAAAACGGGCCGGGTTTGGCACGGCACGCTTAAACAGCGCTGCAGTGCAAATGTGCCATAAGTGACAAAGGAGAGCAGGAAACAATATAAAAAGGTGAAACATGGGGCTGTGTCTATCAAAAAGATGTCTTTTATCGGACCTCTTTTCCTAGATGCAGCCACTATTACAGAAAAAGGGAGCAATTGAACGATTCCCTGCTGTTTTAGCATATCAATGTAAAAAGCTAATTTCAAGAAGATTATCAATAGCCACCAGTGTGAATGCAACTCTTTTTTATGCAAAAACTCTAAAGATAATGTTGTCCTCCTGTTGCGCACATGGTCTTAAACGGTAGAAAACATCAAGGAACTATTTCTAATGCAAGTCACACAGCCTTCACACTCAAGTGACTGTTTAGTGGCAGGTTGTGTGCAGACAGACCACACACACTAGCGTTTGCTCTTTGAATTGGTAACACCTGTTCCTGCTTGTTGAACAGGATCCAAGTAACGATTAACAACTTCCTGTAGATCCCATTGGAGGCCTGTGTTAGTGCCATTGATAGATCCTGTACCGTTAGATTCAGAGCCAATATCAGCCTCTTAAGTGTGTTCAATCACTGATGTCAACATACAGTATGCACACAGAGCGAGACCATGTGTGAAAGTCTCAGCATTCACACATCAATATTCACCTCAGGAGTCTGTCTAATGATTTTATAACACATCCAATCTGTAAACCATGCGACACAGTTCAAACGAATGTGTTGAATGGCTGCTGCGGAACAATGATCAAATGCAACAAAAAGGATAATATAAGAGGTGTAACATCCCTTTGCACTGTTAATGCCTGTAATTGACAAATGCGTCTTTTGTAATCCGATATCAAGTCGACAGCTCTAAGTACAGGTGTGGATTTACAATCTTTCAGACACCATTAGCCGCGTTCACACCGGAGAACTTTTCCCCGTACTTTTCCCCTTTAGTTCCGTTAGTACCCCTTATGTTGCATTCACACCAAAAAGAGTACTTAGTGCCGGGAACTTTTACCCCCATTTTTAGTGCCTGCTAGAGAGGTGGTACTATCCTGGGGGGAAAAAGTGCCCCAGTTCTGATTGGCTGGGCGAATTGCAAACCACGCCCCGTAAAACTCTGAAAAGTTTTGTGAAGCCGCCATTGTATTTGTGGCATTAGCATTATTAGCATTAGCCACGCGCACCAACGGAGAGAGAATAACTTATGGCAACACAAAAAAAAACATGGGAGCGGTGGAGTGATGAGGAGGTGTCGGCGTTCTGGCGATTTACTCGTAAGGCTTGGTCCCCAACTCCGGGGACTTCCGGCCGGGGACTCCGGGCGGCAGTATACGCCGTGAAGTTGTTTGCAGCCTGCCAATAAACCCAAAGCAGAAGAAGACGAAGTGACGTAAGCGGCTCATTTGCGTAATCTTCCCTCAGGGAAAAGTACTCCAGTGTGAACGCGATTGGTACTTAGTGCCCTGGGGTAATAAGTGCCGGCACTAAGTACTGCAAAGTGTGAACGCGGCTATTGAGACAACGCATGGCTACATTATTTAAGCTGTGTGAATAGGATCATATTGGGCCACATTGAACGACTGCCTGCTCACCTTAAGTCCACTGCGGAGGCGAAAGTAAGTAAAAAAACGGGCAACCCTGGCTCTAAGGCACAGGGGACAACTACCAATCAGAAGGTTGGATGTTTGATCCAAAGAACCCGCATTCAACATGTCCGTATATCCTTGAGCAAGATACCTAACCCTGAGTGTGTTCCTGAGTTAATTGTACATGTTGTTAAAGCACTTTAAGGGGTTCAACTATGTCCAGGACGTTTGGAACTGTTTTTTTTGAAGGATTTCGTTTTTTTTTTAAATCCTGGTATTTTTTTGAGTATTTTTCAGGTCAAAGAAAGTGTTTTTTGTAGCGTTATAGTCATGCTGTCTCTGATGTGTTGGTGTTTTTGTTCCGGTGCTCTGCACGGATGTGTCACTCGCCCACCTGCTCTTATGCCTTTGGGGCTCAGTGTCAGCAGGACCCCGGGGAACGTCAATAACAGTATATGTTTAGCCTCAGAAAATGCAACTTCAAA